ATGTATATATATATACATATATATATATACATATATACATATATGTATATATATATACATATATGTATATATGTATATACATATATGTATATATATATACATAGATATATATATATAGACCTTTATTTTTCAGTTTTATCATCTTGTTCTTATAATTGATTGTGTAAACGTAGGAATTATTAATTGAAAATCGGGTAATATGAGTATAAATAATTTATTTCTTTTTAGTTATATTCAGCTTGCTTAACAGAAGCTAAGCAATGTATTTAACGTACCAAAATAATAAAATGAAAAAAAAAAAACTCTTCGTATAATAATCGTGCACTAGTTATGATGGTTGGTAGTTACATTTATTTTATAAATAAAAGTTTGGGATTTTTGATATACATTTATAGGGGTGTAAACGAGCAAACAGTGTGCTCGTGTTTGGCTCGTTTGTTTAGCTAGCCGAGCATGAGTCGTTCACAAACAAAAAGTCATTTTGACAACCCTAATCAGCTGACCATAAGATGTTAAGAATTGAGACAAGATTTAAAACATCATTTAAATCTAATTTAATAATTTTTATTCTATTTTCTTAATTAATACTTTCAATTGATTATAAATTTTTGTAGCCTTATAGTCAATTAAATTTTTAAAAAACACTACTCATCAAAGATATATATATATATAATCTTAGCGAACGGGCCAAACACGAGCTTCTTAACGAGCGGAATACGAGCTGTTCATGAACAACGAGCCGTTTTGACAGCCCTACATGAAAAATCAATGGTCTTTGCTAATTTAGACGATATTTACTCATTTTTCAACATATAACATATCAGATCTCCGACAATTCTTAATAATAAAATTTTAGCTAGATAACCCTAAGCTTTAATTAATAATTAAAATTAGATAAAGAATATTCTTCCAAATATTCTCATGCGATTCCCTTAATATTTTTCTCTTATTTTTAAAATCATATTAGTATGGTGCATTTTTTTTAATATTTTTATTTTTTACGTCTAAAAACAAATTAACTTATTTTAAAAAACATTCAAAATAACATTTATAGTAAAAAAAATTATTAAATTAGATTCAAATGGTATTTTAATATAAATAATAATTTTTAAATCTTGTCATAATCTTTAACATCTTATGACTGCGTGATTAGGGTTGTCAAAATGACTCTTTGTTCGTAAATGACATGTGTTCAGCTCGCTAAGCAAACGAGCCGAACATGAACATACTTTTTGAGCTTGAAATATAAATGAGTAGAACACGAGCTGAGCCTAAGCTCGCTCGTGGGCTTGTTTACACCCCTAGTTTTGAGTGTTCTATGTTGGGTAATGTGGAGACCCGGTTCATCGAATTTAATTAGCTTCTTAATTATGTATCCCACCTACCGCTCACCTACCACACCCACCTATCGCTCACCTAACACATCCCATCTACCGCTCACCTACCTCCCACCTACCGCTCTCATGGTTTCTATAAATAGTCTCTTTTGGTTTAAAGGAAATGCAAGCCAAGCAAGGTCAAATCAAGTCATCTTGAGAGCTAAGAGAGAGAGAGAGGGAGAGAGAGAGAGAGAGAGAAGAAAATATAGATTTTCTTGTAAACGTCGAGGTGCTCGACGGTGTAATTCCTCGAAAGAGGCGTTCAACGGTGTAATTCCTAGAAGTAGTAAAATCCTCTGCAGCTCCGTGGACATAGGCAAATTTGTCGAACCACGTACATCAGTGTGTCGCTCTAGTATTTTTTTCTGAGTGTAATTTTTCTCGTTCCATTTTTCGTTTTATTGTCGTCGTTTTTCACAACAACTGGTATCAGAGTCTTGGTTCGGATCGAAGGAAGAATGATGGGCGGAGACGAAATGGTGACATCGGGGGTTAAGAAGTTCAATTTGGGTTACCGGAAGATGCAGATAGATGACTACTTCTATGAGAAGAAACTTCATCTTTCGTTACTGGGAAAGCGACCAAAAAAGATGGACGAGACTGAATGGAATTTGTTGGATCGATAGATTCTGGGGGTTATACGATTAACCTTGTCGAGATCGGTTGCCCACAACGTCATCAATGAGAGGACTACTGCGGATCTCATGATGGATTTATCAGGTATGTATGAAAAGTCATCGGGAAATAACAAGGTGCATTTGATGAAAAAGTTATTCAACTTGAAGATGGTGGAATGTGTCTCTGTTGCTCAACACCTGAATGATTTCAATACTATCACAAATCAATTGTCGTCTGTTGAAATTGATTTTGATGATGAGATATGTGCACTGATATTGTTGGCTTCATTGCCAAATAGCTGGGAAGCCATGAGGATGTCAGTTAGCAGTTCTGTAGGTAAATCTAAGCTGAAATATGATGATATTCGTGATTTGATTTTGGCTGAGGAGGTGCGTAAGAAGGATTCTGACGAGACATCATGTTCAAGTTCGACACTGAATGTTGATTCTAGAGGGAGATCACATGACAGAAACTCAAATAAAGGAAGATCAAAATCAAAGTCTGGTCAGCAGACAACCTGTTGAAATTGTGGCAAGGCTGGCCACATAAAAAAGAACTGCATGAATCCTAAGAAGAAGGAGAATGATGACACTAATATTGTAACTGTAAAAATACATGATGCATTATTGCTGGTAGTTCACAGTTCTGTTGATGACTGGATACTGGATTCAGGGGCTTCCTTCCATACATCTTCCCGTCGGGAGTTATTGTGAAATTATGTTGCAGGTAACTTTGAGAACACACATCTGGCTGATGGAAAAGCTCTAGATGTGGTGGAGATGGGAGACGTTGATATTGCACT